TGCCGCCCCGTAGGTCTACTGGAGACATTCATAAATGTTCCTAGCAAATCTAACAAATGTTGGAGACATATTTGTTACATAAACACACTAAATCACACTTCAGCAGCGTTTATTTGAGAGCACACAAGAAGATCTGCACTTGAGCAGCGTATATTTGAGGGGGCGCAAGAAGTTTTGTGCACAAACAAAGGAAATCGGTGCACAGGTAAATACATTTGCATGCTTGTATTACATAAATGCGATCCCATCTTTAATACTGCACTCATGACATTTCTTTATTTGTCATTGAAATAAAGCCATAGGTAGTTGGTAGATTTGTGTAAAAGGCCTGCCACCACAGCTGGAAAAAATCCTAGAGGAAACAGTGTTATTGATAATTTATCCGTTTGCTGAAAATTAGAACTTAATTTTGAAATAGTTTTGAAACAAATCTTTGCGCTTAACAAATAAAATTAAATATGTAGGGTATTTGATGTCTTCAGTAGAGTGCGTACCGTTTCCTTATCCATGAAAGTAAAGTGTAAAATAAAGAGAAAGTAAAGAGGCCAAATGGAGGAGGCTCCTTCTTTAATCACACGCATTCATTAAAGCATTCAGTTTTTCCCCCTTACAAAGTCTGCCATGTAAATAGCAAATGCGCCATGGCACGACGCAGCTGACTCTTAAAGGGAATTCGAAATAAGACCATGATTACTTTAAATCGCGTTATGCTCAAAGACACCCATAACTCATTCATAGAATAAGCACAACCCTGTTGGACCATGCACCACCATGCATATTATTCCATCCTTAAAATCGCAAAAGTGGATTCAGACATGCCATTAATGCTTTTGTGCCATGTGCTTTAGACTTTGCGCCTACATTGTTAAAATGGAGTCCTTGGACTTTGTTCATTCTACAGTTTTAGATTTGCTGATTTAAATATTATGGAACCCTCCAGAAACACAGATTTATTGTGCTTGCATGAAAACACTGCTCACAGACCTTGTAACGAATGTATGATGCATTTTGCACTTGCATACAACACTCTTGAATGCAGAAAGTCCATTGTAATTTTTCTATTATTAATTACTCACCCACATGTCCTTCCAAACTTTTGAGACCTTTAGAGGTTCAGTCATAATATTAATAAACCATGAGAATACTTTTGTGCTCACATAAAAAACTAATAACTTTATTCAAGTTTCTTCTTCTTCGTGTAAAATAACTTGATTTGCTTTCCAAAGATAAACGAAGGTCTCAGGGTCTGGAATAACATGATTGGCAAGTAAACTATCCCTTTAAGACCATCATTCTGTCATGTTAGCTTATTTTAGAATATTGCTGTATACTCGTGTAACTACCTTTCATGTGACTGGATTATTTTACTGATCAGTGGACCAAAGGTTGATTTGTTCACTCAGATATACCTGAGCCAAAGTCTTAAATCAAAACTATTTGGATAAATGACCTCCCAGAGGTCTGTTGATAGTTCATGTTTGGTTTGAACTAACACTGAGTTTTTGGGCTCTGGAAGGGGGTTTGGTTTTGATCAGGTTTTGTCACCATGGTAACTTGCGCTACACATGCAGACCCAAACTGGATCAATCAGCTGTGACCTATATCCGATGCAATAAAGCCACTCCCATTTCCCATGCTTCTTTTTTGCTTTTTTATTCAAAATAATTGGTTTATATTATGTCAAATATAATTAATTAAAAAATATATTTAAATACATTTGAATCGTCAATTAATGTTACTAATGCCTTTAACATTTATATTTAAATACTCACTTACATTTTTAATCAATGTCTTTTGAGGTTGTTAATGAAATGAAAATAATTCAAATAAATGATTGATTTGCATTGTTATAATAATGTTTTCTTTAACTTGCCTTATCAGACTTTTACTGCATCAACCTTGTGTTTAAATTGATTATTTTTTGGTAATGATATCTCTCCATCTTCAACAGTGAAGTGAATTGTGCTGACTCTCGCAAGAAATTACTAAAACTGACTGACTCTCATGTGCCGTGTGATTGGCTGTTTACTGCATGTTTCATATTTTTATGTGCACGCTCTCCAGTGTTAATTGCCAACTCTGCGTTTAACCCTGATTTAACAGAGAGTGTTTATATCACCCATAATGAAACAATTTATCCTGATTGCATTGCATTGGAGTTGTCATCCTGAAACTTACTCTGCAACCTGGAGTTTGCAACTCGATTTGTGCAACAGGTCTCAGCTCTGTCTTTTTAAACTTCTTCAAGCATCTGAACTTAAATTGACCTGGGAGCATTTGTTACAGTGTGTGTGAGTCTGAAGTGAAAGTTACTATGTAGATTGGTAGGCAAGTAAAAAGTAAAGGGTAAATAATGACAGAATTTTCATTTTGGGTGAACTATGCCTTAGATACTGTTAAACATTCAGAGTGGATGAATCATCTGACCTTGTTATAAATCTAGAAACTCCTCCATAAAGATATCACACATAAGAGTTTAAAAGGTTGGTTTCTTATTGAAAGTTTGTTTCTCTGTTGTGACAGCAACACTTCAAATGTTTGCACTATGCAAACAAACCCCTGTTTCAGAAAGTTTTCCACACACTTTCAAATGCCTGCCATTGCAAAAGGTCTTATGGTGTTATAAATAATTGCTACTGATGCAGATCAGCAGATGCTGAAGTTGGTGTCATTTGCAACCCACACATATCTGCATGTTATTGTATCTAAATGTCTTTTCAATGGGTTAAAATTGAGAGAATAAACCGGCAGCTCTTTTTGTTTTTACTCAACTGAGTGTTTCAATGCGAGTTTAACATATTGCATGGTCCACTGAAAGAAGAAAGGATAGGGGCACAAGAACAGTGTGTCCCAGGTTTAGAACATACGTGCCTGTGTAGCCAAAACAGTGCGTTCCAAACACACACACACACACACAAACAGAAATGCACACACACTTTCTTTCTCTCTCGACTCCAGAGAGATGAAATACAACAAACAACCCGATAATTGTTATTTGTTCCTTCAGTTTTGTTTATCTAAGTTTTTGATGCCAAGGATGCCAATTATGATAATTCTTTTCCAAAGGTTTTCCTTGCAATATTAAAGGGCACCTATGATGAAAATCATCTATTGTAAGCTGTTTGGACAGAACTGTGTGTAGGTCATATTGAAGTGATAGAAACACAATTATTATTACTATTTTTTTTTTTTTTTTTAAAAATAGGATCCATAGCCCCCCTGTTTTGAGGCCCACTGCAACGTTACGTAGGAGGTGTGGTTTCCCGCACACCAAATTGATTGACAGCCCCGTGTTTACATGTCACTGTAGTAACACGTATAATGATATAGGGCTGCTCGATTATCGGAAAAATCATAATCACAAATATTTTGGTCATAATTGTAATCACAATTATTGAAAACGAAAAATTCTGTGATTTTTTTTTTTTTTTTTTATTTTTTATTTATTATTATTATTTTTTAATATATATATATATATATATAAATATTTCCCAAAACATGTGTAACTGAGGAATTATCCAGTATTTCCTATAATATTTTTTCTTCTGGAGAAAGGCTTATTTGTTATATTTAGGCTAGAATAAAAGCAAGTTTAAATATTTTGAAATCTATTTTAATAGCTCAATATTCTTAGCCCATTTAAGCAATATATATATTTTTGATTGTCTGCAGAAGAAACTACTGTGTTAAATAATGACTTGCCTAATTACAATAATTAAGCCTTTGAATGGCACTTTAAGCTGAATACTAGTATCTTAAAAAAGATCTAGTAAAATATAATGTACTGTCATCATAGCAAAGGTAAAAAAAAATATATTAGTCTATCAAATCTATTATTAGTTATTAAATCTGTTATGAATAAACTGTGCTTTAAGCATCTTCACTGTAATGAAAAAACTGTAGCTACAAAAGTCATCCAGTCAAGAGCAGTGAGGGATTTTCTCCTTTTGTTGTTTGATTTAATAATAAGAACAGGTGGCAGCAGGAATATTGTGTGCTCTCTCTATAAGAATAGTGCGGCTCTGACAGGCGTGGGAATGGGGGGTGGGGAGAACTAGCATCTACATCTACACTGTGTTTAGGGGAGAAAATTCCAATATTATAAATATAATAATAATAATAATAATAAAAATAAATAATCTGTTTTAGCTAAAATTTTACAGACACTTTCTGGAGAGACAAAAGACTTCTCTTAAATCTTGAAAAAGGGGTAAAATAGGTGCCGTTTTAGGAATCTGTGTGTTTATATTAAAAAAATCCAGTTACTTGTTATTTGTAACAAAAGCAGCACAATTCCCAAATAAAATTTGGTATATGGATGATAAGCTACATTTATTTGCTAACATTTTTTTTTCTGGATGCCATTTTAACGGTCTAAGATTTACTTTTCCAATTGGTTGAATCATCATGGGGCTTATGTAAGTTTCTGCTTACACTTTTTTTTTTTTTTTTAAATAATTTTATTCCTTAACATTTTTGGTTACTTTGTTTCCACATAAAAAGTATTACAATACTTATTATAAGACTTTTATTATAATATATAATGTTTTTAGTGTAAATATAATAATTTGGCTTTATGAGATTTTTTTTTATCATTCAGACTATTATTAATGTTAAAATTTGAGTTTTTTTCACATACATTTTTAAAATATTTTGTTTAACAAAAGAAGATTTTAGGAAGAATGTTGGAAAACACATAGTTTATAGTGAACGGAAGAAAAGGAAAAAGAAAAATTTTCATGTTTATGGAAGCCATTTTTTTAACGTTCTTCAACGATTTAGTTTACTTAGATGGAATCATGAAATGATTCATACCATTCAATGTCAATATACCTATTATCTTAATATACATGTACAGATTAATACATTTTTCTGCCTTCGCTATTATTTTCTGTTTGACATATCTCATAATTGTCTGTGTGTTTTGCCCTCTGCTGGCCACTTGATGTAAATCGGGTTCTGTCATTTTGTATTGAGGGTTGCTTTTTTTGTCTTCACAGTAAGTCAACTGCAAGATGAGTTCAGATGAGCAATTGTCACCACTGTCTCCCAAGACGTCACCTGTCACACCATTTCAACAACGGAAAGAAAGTAACTCGTCATCAGATGACAACAGACAGGCAAGACAAGTAGGTTTAGAGGAGGACTAAGAACTTTAATGATTTAATTTTTTTGTAACATCAAGCGTGAAATTAATAGGCGACGCAGTGGCGCAGTAGGTAGTGCTGATGCCTCGCAGCAAGGTAGCTGGTTCGAGCCTCGTCTGGGTCAGTTGGCCTTTCTGTGTGGAGTTTTTATGTTCTCCCTGTGTTCGCGTGGGCTTCCTCCGGGTGCTCCAGTTTCCCCCACAGTCCAAAGACATGCGGTACAGGTGAATTGGGTAGGCTAAATTGTCCATAGTGTATGACTGTAAATGAGTGTATGTGTGCGCATGTTTCCCAGAGATGGGTTGCGGCTGGAAGGGCATCCACTGCGTAAAAACGTGTTGGCTGGATAAGTTGGCGGTTCATTCCGCTGTGGCGACCCTGAATTAATAAAGGGACTAAACTGACAAGAAGATGAATGAATGAATAAAATAATATGCTTTTGTTATATCAGGGGATATGATCATACTTTGACTTAAGTTGTGCTGACATTATTTGCGATTATCTAGCAAATAATCAGCATAGAGAGGAAATATGTTAGCAAATTTCTTATTGCAGTTGAATTGCTAAAGCTTTTATCCCGATATACAGCACTATCAAAATATTGACCTAATCTGCAAAAGAGTTTAATTTTAATAATTATTAATTTATTCATTTTCTCTTCAACTTAGTCCCTTCAGAAATGTGGGGTCGCCACAGCAGAACGAACCGCCAACTTATCCTGACTCAACCCATCTCTGGGAAACATCCACACACACTCATTCACACTCATATACTATGGACAATTTAGCTTACTCAATTCACCTGTACCGCATGTCTTTGCACTGTGGGGGAAACCTGAGCACCCGGAGGAAACCCACGTGAACGCAGGGAGAACATGCAAACTCCTCACAAAAACGCCAACTGACCCAGTCGAGGCTCGAACCAGCGACATTCTTGCTGTGAGGCGACAGCACTACCTACTTCGCCACTGTGTTGTAGCGTTTATAGTTAAATTAACCACAAAAACATTTAGTGTATTGCTTTATTTTGTATTCATGTTTAAAGTAAGTGTTTTAAACAAATCAAATTGCAAAGTTGGTTTATGCATTAGAGTCAATAGTAAGAAATAACTACATTTATTACAATTACCATGTTAATAACTCAATTTTGCTATTTATTAACTCTGATTAATAAAATAATTATAACTTTTGACTTTAATACATTATTAGAGATTAACCAAGAAATAAACGTTTCTAAAGATTAATAAAAGTTTTCGTTGTGGTGCAAATTTAGCTATATTGTCAAGTGTTAACAAAAATACCCCTATAAAAAGTTACAGAATTTTTAATTAGTTATTTTATTAGTTATTAAGCTATAATTCCTTGTTTATTTTTGAAAGTAAAATGCTTATTAAGCCTTAAAGCATTTGGAGAACCCCTGAAATGCAGCAATCTGAGTATTCTAAAAAGACATTCTAAAAATGTAAATAACTTTTGACATTATTTTTATGTGCCCAAGATATAAATATTGTGGATGTTCATTATCAAGGTATATTGAATTACTGAATGTCTCCATATGTCTAGAGGAAAGTTGTTGTTGTTGTTGTTGTTGTTTTTCTGACACAGCCTTTTATTCAAATTTACATCTGTGTCCTATCTCGTTTTATTTTTTTATTCTTCTTTAGGGCAGTTGGGAGGTGGTTGAGGATATGCAGGGATTGATAGGAGATATCCAAAAGCCCGAGAAGCAGGAAGGTTTGCTGTTAAAAAAGAGGAAGTGGCCTATGAAGGGCTGGCATAAGGTGATCATGTGATTTTGTCATTGAACTCAATGATATTTAAATGATTGTGTGTGTCCTAAATGTGCTTAAAGGCAATTTCTTTTCATGTCCACTTGTTTTTAACAGAGATATTTCCTGCTTGAAAGGGGGATCCTTACATATGCCAAGACTGGCAGTGATGTGAGTGTGAAAACCTAGTCATTCACATATATTTACTAATAACTTTATAGTAACTAACAGTGTTGGGAGTTAGGCATGGCACGATAACCATTTTCAAGGTATACCATGGTTTGGAAAGTCAAGGTTTTAATACCGCCAACATTTTCTGTTATACCATTTCTATGTTTATGTAAGATTTTTTTTTTTTGTTACTTTTTTTTTTAAGACAACAGTATCTCCTCCAGAAAAGATATCCAATATTGGCATTTTGAATGAGATTTTAAAACTAATAAGACAGCAGAAGTCAATGATTCATTTGAATTATTCAGCCTGACATATTTACTGTTTCACAATATTTTACATTTATATGAAGCTATAGTAAACTATATTGGCTGCGTCACAAATCACCTACTACTCAGTAGGTACTGCATTTGAATTTACTACTCGATCGATAGAAATGTACATTCTACACATTATGAATGCGAGTAGTATGAATGGAACTTGGACGTACTATGGATGTCATTATCATGTGACCTACCCACTTTACTCCCATTCATTAATTTTCTGGCGGTACATCATGGAATAGCGTAGCATTTATTGGATGCGCACTTCAGAATCTCATCTGGTTACTTTTTGCATACTGTTATTCTATGTATTTAGACATACTACTTGGCTCGTATATTGCTTTTAGCAACTGTATACTACTATATAGTATAGAATTATGTGATTTCGGATGCAGCCATTGGGTTCAAAGGAGAAAAAAAGTGTTTCTTTTATACCCAGACATTTAAAAATAATATATTTTAGAGCAGTAACCACAATACTGTGAAATCGTGATATTTTTATCTTGGATTTATCATACCGTTAGAATCTTATGTCGGCCCATGCGAATTAAGGGTAACTCATTACAAGTAATGCAAGTTACGTAATATTACTTTTTTAAGTAACAAGTAACTCATTACATTAAAAAATGAAGTAGTTATATTTTAATTTCTTTTTTTTAATTTTTTAGAAATTTCTTTTTCAGTGTGAACACACTACTTACACTATTTATACTACAAAATGGCGTAGAATAGTGCATACGTATGCGATTTGGGACGCAGCTATACTCTCATTGATTTGAATGCATAAAAAAGTGATTTTACTTCACTAATAAGACAAAAGTAGCAAACACATTCCTTTAAACAAACCTTAATTTGTGTATACAGCATGTATAGCTCTGGGGTCAGAAAGTGCTCAGTAGATGACATTATCCTAAAATATAATTTTTTTATTAAATTATTATTTTTGGTATTTTTATTTAAGGTAAATAAAGGCTATAGAGTGTGTTGTTATTGCAGAGCTCCTCTGTTAAATAATAATAATAATTAAAAACACCTGTGAGTTCTGAAAGAGTTTAAGCCTCAGCAAAAGTATTGAAAAGTAACACAAAAGTAATGTAACACATTACTTAACTTACTTAACATAACATAACATTACTTAACATAAAAAGTAACGCAAGTAGTAAAAAGTAATGCAACTAGTTTCTTTTTTGGGGAGTAACTCAATATTGTAATACGTTACTTTTAAAAGTAACTTTCTCCAACACTGGAAACTAATAACCTTAACTTTTCTGACTCTTTGAAACAATAATAATTGTAAAAAGAACTATAGATAATGAAGTTGACTTGAATTAAATTGAATATTACACACTCGTATGCTGAGTAACCTTACTTAAATCCTGTCAGAGATGTTGTTTTAATTGTTTCCATGTGATTGATTCCTCAGCTAAAGAAGGGGAGATTACGAGGCCGCATTGATGTTGGTCTTTCTGTCATGGCCATGAAGAAAAAGTCCATGTGCATCGACCTGGACACAGAGGACAGTATCTATCACCTCAAGGTATTGGCATATACACAAAACAACTGTTCTTATTTTGAGATTGCACTTTCTTATTACGCTCCATTTACTGTGACGTTCACAGGCAAAGACTCGGAGTCTGTTTGATCTGTGGGTGATGCAACTACGGCATCATCGAATTTTCCGTCAGAATGAGATTGCCATGGAGCCTCCCGAGAGACAGCTGCAATCTGACCCCGCCTCCAGCAGACAAGTACTCACTCTGTTTATACAGTAATCAGTCACAGTGGAATATAAATGTCAGCCTTTAGACTCTCTGCTCGATCAACAGAATATTTGACTCTAAAGCTGTAATAAAAATCACAATAATAACAAGATCTAAATTCAGCTTGAACCTGATATTTAGTTAATTTTTTAAAGTTATGATAGATGCTAATATTCCTTTTATATCTTTATGACTTTTAAAAAATGTAATCTAATTGTTTTGTTAAATCACGCATAAAATCATTATAAAGTGTACAGATTTTAAAATTATGTACAATAGTTTGCATTTGTAGAAAACTTTAAGAATTTGTTGCAGTAAAATGTTAATAATATGACCACTTTTTTTAAAAAGTATTAAAACTAATATACATATTGTGCACGCTTAACAGAAAAAAACATTATAATATAATAATATTATATGTATATTATATTATGTATATTACCATAATATGTTTGCAGATATTACAGAAACATGCAAAGTGAAGATTCTTGTTAATCTGAAAAACAGTGCTGAAGTCCGATATTCTGTTTTTCTTTTTTTCCATGCCAGAACGTCTGTCTTTGTTTTGGTTCTTTTTACCTACCCACAGCTAGTTTAGCTAATTATATTTCAGCTACTTGTTGGAAAACTGCTTATTTTATTCACTCATTCAGAATGGCTCTTAAAGCATGCGCCCGTGACTGAAATGCGACCTCCGGTGGACAGTAGAAAACTCCAAAATGAGACTCAGATATAGAGTTCCACATGAGATGGCTATCACATAGCAAATAATATAAATATTACGAGCGTAGACATTAGGTGAGCAGGTTACATTGAACCACGTGTTCCAACAACATGCTACGTGACAAGATTTGCAGTGATAAGCAATTTGGTTGTTTGTACAAGACACGTAACATGACGTTTAAATACAGCCATTCAGAAGCAGAGAATATGCACTTGCTCATGAAATGGCAATGCTTCTAACTAATTAATACATATTAAACACTATTAACACTTTAACATTATTAAATGTACATTGAATGTGCTTACATTCAATTACATGCTGAATGTGTTGGTTTTGAGTCACAGCTCTAAAGTTCAATTTCAAACAGTTTGTTTTATTTTCAGGATCTGAGGTGAACTCTGCTGCCGCTTTCAGTAGAATGGCATTAAATGTCATGTCAAATGGCATTCAAGCTCACATTATTAGCATTTAACACTAAATAAAGCACATGAGGTTTACCTGAGGGAAGCGGCACCAATGTCAGTTTGTGCTGCTAAAAATAGAAGCTGATTCTAATATATCAATTTAAAGAGTTGGTTAGAACAAAAACTCCTTTTAATATGGAACATATTCCCTCAATCACATGTCTTTGCATTAATTTAGAACACAACTTAAATCAGCCTTTGGGCTCAATTGTCAGACTGCTTTCTCAATCTGGCAACCTTGGCTTGCGTTTGTTTTGATCCAGGAATGTAATACCTAGTTCAACCACTGGGTGTCAAACTTACATCGTGCACCTTTAACAATGGTGATACACTAACGTTTCAAGTGGTGCTCGCTGCAGAGCCATTTGGGCGAGCTGAGCTCCAGCGAGGGGGAGCTTGAGCTCCATCTTTTTTGCACTTCTTCTACAAGTGATGTCACTGGGGGTAGGGTTAGGGGTGGGGTTGGTATACGCATTAAAACAGCTTACAGGAGGAGGAGCGAGAGCTCATGCTCCCCCTCGCTGGAGCTCAGCTCTGCTCAAATGGCTCTGCAGCGAGCGCCCTCTCTAACGTTTGGATATTTGGGATCTGTATGTCTTTTTATAAAATGAAATTAATACTTTTATTTCAGTTAGACTCATTTAAGAAATGTTTTTTTTAAACAATAAGCTGCTAAACTGTTTTGACAATTCAAATTGTAATAAGAAGAAATGATTCTTGATCATTAAGTCAACATTATGGAATATTTTCTGAAAGGACAACCAAGACCAAAGAAGTAATTTATATACATTTTTCAAATGTTTATTATTATCACATAAATCAAACCTTGGTGAGAATTAAAGACTTTAAAATATCTTGGGCACATACTTTTTATCATATGTGTGTCTTTTTTCTAATATCACACAAAGGCTTCCTGTAATAACACATTGTCTCGTTGTTTTTCAGTGTCCCCAGCGTTCTTTTATCTCCATGCAGCCTTCAGCCTTATTGAAGAACAACTGGCGCCAAAACTCACAAGATATGGAGAAATGCTACAAAGGTAGTTGCAGAAAACTGCAATGATACATCATTCTGTGCTTCTGTTCTTGGCACAAATGCTACTTATTTCTTAGATAAAGTACATCATTGTAACATTTCAAGTAAAAAAAATGAAATAGTAACATTTTTGATAGATCTGTCAGAGTGTGAATCTTCATTGCTGGAATTAAATCTGCTGCTGAAAAATATGGAGGTTCTTCATCGAACATTCTCAGCACCTGCCATTAACTTACTGCAGGTAAATAGCATTTGCATGTTGTATGTATTTTTATAATTTTTTGTCAAAATGTTTAGTTTATATCTGATGGTTAATCAATCTACTGAGATATGAACTGTAGTTTTTAATTCTAAAAATAAAAAAGTGCATTTTGTTCAAGTTTGATCTTTATATAATTTTTTGCTTGAGATAATTTAGGATTCCAATTTTAAATAAAAATGAGAAATGTTGAAATAAAACAAACTTAAATTTGTTTTATTTCATTTAATGTTCTTTTTTAAAAGGAAGTAATACAAATATTTGTCATTTGGTTTAATTTTGTAACTTTGACCACAGAGCGAAGGTTCCAAAAAAGAGAAACGAGGACACAAAAAATGGAAATCAAAGAATTATAGCAAGGAAAATAAAAATGCTCTACAGGTATAATAACAACATCTAACTCCCCTGTACACATACAGATATCCTCACAGATTCTCTCTCAAGCAGTTAAATGATATATCTGTTTTTCCATCAGAATCCTGATGCTCCATCTTCTCGTCTACATGTGTCCCATCCTAACTTGGTATATTCAGAACCCGTTTCACCAGACTCATGCCTGGAGAGTCCAGACTCACCCACGGAAGCCTCTCGAATGCAGGAGGAGTTCTGTCGGCTTGCTGGCACTGGTTAGTTTGAATAGTCACGTTTGCACCATGTCAGAAATTATTATATTATATTAATAAATCTCCCCTGGTCCTTGATTTTGATTTGATTTAAAGCTGATTTGAACAAACTTTCACCTGTGACCTCAATGAATCAGTATTGCTGCTCTAGAGTGGACAGTCTAAAAAAATAAATTTCAGACGCCAGATATATTTTTTTTACATTTTCTTTTAACAAGTTCATGTCAGGACACTATGTGCAGTTTATTTATAAACTTATTTCTAGAGGATTACGTGCTTATGATTGACCACGGCTGGTCCAACACTAGCCAACAAATGAATTATTAATCGGATGAATCTTAAAACATTATAAATAAATAGAGTTTCGTACTTCAGTTATCTTCGTCTTGAAGAATCCCTCTTCCACCCCTACTACTCCTTTTTCCTAGATAGGGTGGTACAGCAGCTCAGTGGTTAGCACTATTGCCTCAAAGCAAGAATGTCACCAGTTAAACTCTTTAATAGGCCAGTCAACGTTTCTGTGGGGAGTTTACATGTTCTCCCCGTGCTCGCGTGGGTTTTCCCAGGGTTCCCCGGTTTCGTCCCACAGTCCAAAGACATGCAACATAAGTTCATTGACTAAACCAAATTGGCACAATAGATGAGCTCTTAGTCAAGATCCCATCTATGCCTTTCAGTCAGCAGTCTATCTCTTCATAGTCATGCTTATCTGTCATAAGCCATAACTAAACCAGGGGATTTCTCGAGACATACCTGAGCTCAAACTCCTCTCTTACCCTTCACATGAGAGGGAGCCCCTAGCTTGAGGATCTTCTTAGCTCAGGGCTCTCTCCTGGGACAGCATGGCAAACACGCTGTATTATTTATTATTAGCTAACGCCTGTTTCACACCGCAAGCGTCAGCGGCGCGTGAGCAGAGCGTGAGCAGCGCGTGTGTTTTCGGCGTCCATGTTAACAGATTAGAGCTTTCATACCGCGCGCAGCAGCAGCGCGTCAGTGCGAGGCGTGAGCGTCGCCGAAGCAGCAGTGCAGCGATAGTTTCGGCGCTGGGTCTATTTTTGATGCGCTGCTCACGCTCAATTAAAGTGACAGTGCATTGATAATGACCAAAATCATTAAATGACAGTAAAAAGTAGCAATTTTACCCAATAAATGCGTTAATAATGTCAAATGGTTTATATATAGTCATTCAAATGAACTTAAAACGATTAAAAACGGCAACAAACATTTATTTAGGCCCAAACTACAAAACCAAATGTAAAACAATTTTACTATCAGTTTTGCTTAAGTTGCACACTAGTGTTGTAGGAGAGGGTAAATGGAATATTTACGGGATTTGTAGTCCATTGCGAAGTGTATTGTGGGTAGTGTAGTTCGACACGCATGCTGGATGATGTGAGCTCGCTGTGTTCTGTGCAGCTGAGCAGAGCAAGAAAGTTTTAATCGGCTTTGTTTTTTGTTCACTCGAGTTATTCCTACCGGGAGCTGTTTGCACTGTGAATCTCACAACACGAAAATAAGTAAAAGAATGGCATGCATTGGTTACTTTTGTCCGTCTCATCATCTGCACGAGCATGAATTAACGAGCTGTTATTCTGCCGCTGGACATCACTGAAGCGGATAAATTAACACTAGTTTGATCATGTATAAATATCATTATAACTACATTGTATAAATATGATTATAACTAGGTCTACAGCAACCTGATAATCAAAAAACAAATGACATGATATCACAGGCGATTGTCTTCTGACTGTAGACAGTAGACACCTCTCATATAAGTTAGCTTGAGAAGCATACAGTACTATTTGATCTATAAAATTTGTAAAATAAACATTTGCAGGTTAATGAAACAGCATATGAGGGGCCTTGGTGCAGATGAAAAGTTTAAAAAGTGTATTTGTATATAGAGGGGTAACTAGATAGAATAGACAGAGATAGGTTGATCTCAGCAGCAGCTGCCGAAGAGCTGCGCGCTGCAGACGCAGCTGGTGTGAAAGGCAAACGCCTGCGTGCTGCTACTGCTCGACAAACGCGCTGCTCACGCTCTGCTCACACGCCGCTGACGCTTGCGGTGTGAAACAGGCGTAAGTGTGAACTTTTGAAAGTTTATTGATGTAAATGAGGATAGCGGTTACATAAACTGTGACAATATACTCAATCCTTTATACTGGAGATCATGGTTATGGGTGGACCATTAAAGTATTCATAGTTGTGTAAATTTTGTCAAGCTTACAGTTTTCTGAATTATTTTTGGTTTCAAGTTATCTCAAACCATTGAGATTAATTTGTTTTAATGCTTTTCCACTATCGGTTTAAACGGTTCCATTCTGTGCTGATCTGGTCCAGTCAGCACGAAAATGGTTTCTGTTTCTACAGTGGTACTGATAACAGGGCTCTTTGGAATGCAATACAAATGCGTCAGTCGATGCCTTGGTAATGCAAGTTAATGAGATTTTTTTTCTGATATTTTTATTGATAAATAATAAAAATAAATAAATGTATAACACACTTTCACTTCCACCGATCACACAGAATGGGCTTTATGCGTTGAGAGTAGAGGTGTGAACCTATACTGGTCTCACAGTTCGGTTCGGTTACGATTATCATGCCATCAATTCGGTTCAATTTGATGTCTCGGTCGGTGCATCACGGAGCATTGACGATGCTTTCCATACACAGTGTTATATTTTGGGGGGGAGGCTAAAACATGCTGTCTGTATAAACACAGACACACAGCACCACACTGTCTCTCATTCAAACTCAAACGCAAACATAGACAGCACCAAACAAACAAACAAACAAACACGCACACAAACACACACTTAAGCCCTCGCAATATGCGTTTAGCCGGGAGAGCACGGCCTTTGCACTCCGCGCGAGCTCTCCCGGCTAAATGCATATTGCGAGGGCTTAAAGGGAGCAGAGGTCGTAATGTTGAGCGAAAAAAAAGAAAAGAAAAAAGACAGCTGTGAAACATAACCAGCTTTGTCTTTTTGTAGGAAACACACTTTAGATCTTTTTAGGGTAAGAGGTTTTTGAGTTATTGCCGCTATAACTGAATGTGTCAGGAATATCGAAAACAAAACCAACTTAACCACGCTCATTTCTGGCGCCCCCCTGGATGTACAGCGCCCTTGGCATTTTCCTTCTCTGCCTATGCCACGGACCGGCCCTGAGTTGGCTCCTGAGTGTTGTAAATACCGGCGTTCACCTCCCTTGCGACAGAGCACATAGGAGATAGATGACGTCAGTACATAATAACCGGTTATGATTATTACTGAACCGATATCAAATTATCCGCGTCTGCATCGCGGTGAACCGAATAAACAATTAATTTTGGCACCCCTAGATGAGAGACATCTTTTTTGAAAGGTTTACTAATGGCCTCAATCTTTTCTGCGTGCTGTTTATGCACCCTACGTGCCCTGCGTTTTAACCGCCTGGTGTACTTTGCGTTTTTGCCCTTGTGCACCGTGCGCTCTCAGTTCAGAAAAAAAAAGTCAACTCTTAGCATAACAACATGGTACGTCAGTCGCGTCTGTTTCATTCTCTAATCAAATGAAAGCAGAGGCGTGGTTTCCGTTGAAGTGCCTGCAGTGTTTATGTTATCTAGACAACAACAGAAACTTTTGAAGACGGAGGAGAGACTTGTGGTTGCTGTTTTGGGTTATCTTAGAGCTGTATGACTTCACAAATCATGAATACCACAAAATTAATAATTATTAAAATTATATTATATCAACAGCAACACTTAAACAATACCCAGGTGATTCAGTCATTGCCTAGCGACATACTGTAAAAAATGTACCCCGCTCCTTTTTTTCTTGTAAACTAAAAAAGGCAGTGCGATGCGCCTCACATTTTTGGAACACAAAAGCACCTTCAATGTGATCAGCTATGGAGAAACTAGCAGGCAACACAGTGGTGACGTCAGACACACTTTACAAGTCCAGCACTGTTGTCAAATGGTGCCTAGAACCATTTGTGCCGAGAATAGTTTGTAATTATCCCGTGCCATTCCAGGCTTACATGGAAATGCAACTGGAACCATTCTTGATATAGAACAGTTCGACACTATAGTGAAAAATCTGCTAATGTACAGGTAGTTCACTAAAACTGTTGTGACTGCATGGAATGGTTAAGAAAAGAGAACTGTTCAGTCCATTAGCAGTAAAGCCGTTGTTGCTTGGCAGAAGAATAACATTTTTATTCATATCAATGCATTTGATTTGCTTTGCTTTATTGTGTGAAACTATGTACAGTATATTGAATGACCATTTTATAAAAGCAACAAGGATCCCAAAATTGACAGTATAATTAATTTATTATAGCTTAAGGGGCTTAGGCAATCTTGTCTGTTATAAATCCACTGTAATTAAAGTTAGTTTTAAAAATATTTTAATGTTCAATATTAAGTTTTGCTTTTGTTTAAAGTTTGTACTGATAATCATAAAATATTACTTGTATTGTTATCAGCTACTGACAGTTTTATATGATAAAAATCATATAATTGAATTATACGAATTTTCTTTTTTTCTGCTAGTTCATTCCACTCTTCGGTCAGCGTACTCTTTACTTTGCTCCGAGAGAGACAGAGTCAAGAACACACTGGATTTTATCAGTGAGAAGGTATGCAGACAAAACATTTATGTAATCCGTTTGCTGTTATCAACAAAGCTCATTTTATCTTCTCGCCTAATCAGGACGTCTTTGATGGGTCACGGCCTTTGCTGCAGCAAATGTCTAGTGAGAGCCGAGGGTCAATCCCAGAATCCATGTCAGAGTTCTTTGATGCTAAAGAGTACCTGCTGTCTGGCAGCTCATCTGATAATGAGGTCAGTTTGGCATAAATCACTTTTTGAATGATTTTCAGATTTTAAAGTGGCCCTGGTATTTTATAATACTCTTCACAAATACTACTATGTCTTTCATATAGTGGGTGATGTACAGTACTAGTTTGTGAATGTAAAAGATCAGTTTATTTTCAAAAATTAAATAGAGATAAATGTTTTCTGAGCTGCAAAAGCAAATCAACTCTGCAAGTTCTTAAAAAATGAGTCTCAGGTTTATGTAAAATCCAAGGCATTGTTGCTGTTTGTGTCTTTGTTTATACAAGTCTTGACATTCAGATATGATAAAAAGCGTTTTGTTTCCAATAGGAGTGTAATGGATCACCCACCGTTGATCGGTGGTCCATTAGGATCACAACCCAGAGTTCGGAACGCACGTGACCCGCAGATTATTAACTTTTTTTTTTTTTTTTCGTATTTTGAACCTTTGGAACGCACGTGACCCGCAAATTAATAACTTTTTTTTTTTAATTCGTAGGTTAATCTAAATTAATTATCCATTTATAACAACCGCAGAGGGATTGCCTTTTGCGTCATTCAAATCACGTTTATGAAAGCATTTTGGCTTCCCTGTAAAATATAACGATGATGGGAAAAGTTGTTGTGGGACATACCTAAATGCTTTCTTAGGCTATTAATTAAAGGTGTTTTCTGTCACTGTTTGTTAAGCCTGCATTAAAAGGCACCTATGGTGAAACATCTACTTTTCAAGCTGTTTGGACAGACATATGTGTAAGTATAGTGTATAGACCGCCATATTGGGGTGATATAAACACAGCCAGTCCTATTTTTTTTCAATTTAAAACGATAAAAGCGATGGACCAATTGGAGCGGTTTTTAGATCGACCTTGACGTAGGAGTCCGGTGCCTCAGTCAAAGTTAATTCAGTGTGTGTAGTTTAATCTAGGTGTACAAGCTCGGAACTTGCACACAGTTGGCTGTAAAACTATACAAAGACACAAATGATTGTGTACTCTGCTTGGTCTGTGTCCGAGGCGTACATGGATGGCTGAATTCTGATCCTCTCATGCTGCTTCTCTCTATTTGCCTGTTTGTTGCCAAACACAGAGCGAGGGAGCTCTTGGCTCCGCCAAGTTACGTACATTGTTACGTTGGGGCGGGAATGTTAAACTAATTTTCATATGAATCAACACACCCCTAAAACAGCAAGCAGTGTACACACCCCCAACATGACACTTTTGAACACATTATAATAAAAAAATCTGAACTGTGTTTTGAACTGAATCTAAACTGGCACACTCAGAAGAACCATAATATTAATATTAAATCATAAAAAGGGGTAAACTATGTGCCCTTTAATGCATTCAGTTCAAAGATGCACAAATAAACATTAAAAGGTTGTGATCTCAATTCAAACCTGTGCAACATGAATGATAAATGATAATGATTTGCATGTTTATTAATCTTTTGAAGCGCTGCATGGGATAACAGTTTATAGTTCAGATATAAACACTAATGTTTATGGTAAAGATTAAAGTCACCGTTTAATATAACCTAATGCTGGTGAATGTTGTAGCAATTACATTGTGTAACCAATTGGTGGCAACAACCATCAAAATTATGTCACTGAATAGGTTTTCAAAAAAGATCCAACTATAATGAAACAAGTTTTATGTGTGAATTGTTCAATCATTCATTAAAAATAAATGTGATATGTTCTACAAGATGTTAGATTTCTATATTTAGCATTATTAGCAACAGTAGCGAAGATCATTTTTTTGTATTAAATATTTTCCTTATTTTCATCTGGTTCTTTTTTTTATTTTTATTTTTATTAAAATTACAGGTTGTAACTTCTGTTTGTTAAAACCAGTAATATTTTTATGTAAATAGAAAGCAAATAACGTTTACCTCCTACCTTTTTTTGCTGATCTGAAAAATGGTCCGAGCCATGACTCAAAAACCATAGCATGATCCAAACCGTGAGATTTGTTATACGTTAAACTACTAGTTTCCAACGTGATGCAAGTAATATACTAGTCACTCACAAAAGGTTTGAACTTTTGAACACATTGGAGCACTAGACCCAATCACCAACAACTCGGTATGTCTTGTAAACACTCTTGAAAAGTGATAAGAAAATAACACCACGTGCAAGACTGGAAATGGTACCCCGCAATAACTGTTTTAAATAATTTGCCATTCACATGGCCTGTGCGTGGATTTTCTGTGAAAGGGTGAAAAAGAAAAAAGATTATGTAAGAGGAGATGGTTGTGGAGATGCAGGGGACAGGAATGTGCATTTTGCAACGAAAGGGAAAAATTGGAGGTTAAAAAACGATTTTGTGATGTGCTGTGGTTAGTCAAGCAAATTTTTCTTCTTTGTTGATTTAATTCAATTTATTTTTATTTATATAGCACTTTTCACAATGTAGACTGTGTCAAAGCAGCTTAACATGGTTCTAGTAAAGTCCAGATTTCAGAGTTAGAGTTCAGTTTAATTTAGTTTAGTGTGGTTTCAATTTCACTGTTGAAAGTTCAAACACTGTAGAGTGTATTCACCGAAGTGCAGCTCTACAAATTCCGATCCAAGCTATCCAGTGATGACAGTCGCGAGACAAATGTTACTGTTTAATGTAATCGTTTACTCTGATTATGTTGTCTATAACCCCTCCCCATACTCTCTGATGCTCTGTATCTCGCTTTCTCTTTGGGTTTAGATCCTTTGTATAGGTCAACTTATTTCATACAGTGTGTTTTTGAATCGTCAACCGCTCCAGATATTTTAGCATGCCAAATATTTCACAGGCTTTTGTGACATGTCTGCAATTTTCTTCGATTGCGTCTTTGATTATTCACACTGCGTGATTGCTGCTTGTGTATTTGCTTCAGATTTCAGACATTTGTCAGAGATTTCACAACTTGTTGGTGAGTGAAAGTCAGTGCTAAAATCGTGTAGTGTGAACTCAGCATAAAACAAATTTAGGAACCTTTAAACTATCATAATGGGACACTGAGAAAATGCATGAAATGCACATTAAAAATGCACAATAAAATAAAAAAATATAGGTTAAATCAGGGTGTCCATGAGGTCTTGTAAAGTATTAAAAGTTCATCAATCAATTTACAGAAATTTAAGGTGATTATACAATGTTTAAATCTATGCTAAAGTTTAAATCTAATCAGCAAATATTGAAACGCTGTGTAGATTATGAAATGATAAACTCGTGCTAGATTTGATGTTTAGCTGGTAGCCCACAAAGCACTGTTATTCAAGTTTTGCTGTAGGTGCCACCTGCCAGAAGACATTGAATTAGTGTTTGTATTCAGCATGTCTCATGTTTTAGTTTTGTGCGGGTATTTTTTTGTGTAACAATTTAAAAACTGTAGATTTACTTAATATTTTTAAATTATCCAATCTATATTAAATCATTAACTGCACACACTAATGTAGGTTGAGCCTTGGTGTGAATCATGACTAAAGTTGCCTCTACTTCTAAGTTAAGTCAGATGGTTCAGCCTGTGATTAAAGGCAAAAAAAACAAACATTTTTGTCACATACTCATTAGATTTTTTTCTGTTTTCTGAAATTCTAACATTCAAACATTTTCTCTAAAATTCTCTAAAACAGAAATCGGTGTTGTAATTGGGCAATTTGGCCAATTTCTTTTCCAATTTTTTTTTTTTCCATTTTTTTTACAACAAACATTTAGTAAATATACAAGTTTAAGTGCCCCCAGTGTTACTGGTTAAAACCTAAAAAGTGGCGATGAGGTCTTAAAATGTATGGAAATCGTCTTTAAAAGTATAAAAAGGTTTATATATATGTATATATATATACATATATATATATATATATATATATATATACATACACAGTACACTGTAAATGTGAACCACTGTAAACGTGAATTTCATCATGACCATTTTGAACATTTTTATTTTATTTTTTTTATTCATAACCAGGTGTCTGATGATGATTCTTACGTCAGTGATGTAAGCGACAGTACATCAGTAGAGTTTTGCAGGAATGAGAATGGCAACATGAGGGAGATTTTTGGTGAGAAACTGGGAAGCACACACTTTTGAGTTAACCTGTTTAAAGCTTTGTTTTTTAATTAATCGGTTGTGTGTTTTAGTGTCTTCAGGTAATGGCAATGAGAGTGCAGTGATGCGGCGAGCACGTTTACCAAGTGCACGCATGAACGAGAGTGTAAATCTGTGGAGTATCTTGCGCAGTAACATCGGTAAAGACCTGTCAAAAGTGGCCATGCCTGTTCAACTCAATGAACCCATGAACACTCTGCAGAGACTGTGTGAGGAAGTTGAATACTGCCACCTGCTGGACACTGCTGCAAACACACACGACCCACATATGCGCATGGTGAGATCAATCTTTAGATACATCTGTATAAATGTAGGAATGGAATGGCCAGCAATGCACTGTATTCAAATTTTTTTTTAATGCCAAAACTTATGTAAGTTTTTGCAATGGATATATCAAAATGTATTTTATAAATAGTAATATGCATTGGCAATGCAATGTCTGTTGCGATTGGTCAGCGGTGTTCAGTGTGAGACAGAGAGAAATGCCCACCACGGCTTATCAACATTGTTGAAGCAGTCAGAGTGCAGAGTGTATGTGTGAGTGTAATGCGGTATAACACCAGCATATTGCCCTATTCTTAACTATGACACACATTCACTGTTAATCCACAAAGTGGCATAAGCTGATCTATTTTGAAACTTGACCACCACATGTGTATAGGAACAGCTGACGGTGGCCATACCAACGACAAACGGCAGTGAATCGTGAGCACACAAACGCATTTAAATCTGTAAACAAAATGAACTCACCCTAATTTAAAACTTGGTTTTAAACGCGAAATGACAATATAATGAGTTAACCAGATGTAGTACAAGTAACAAAACACAATTAAATCATTTTAATCGCACTTAAGTTACTTACACTTGTAAAATGGAGGAAGAAACTGATCCATGAACTGTGTACTGTAAAGTTTCTGTCAAGCTCTGACAAAGTCCTATACATCAACAGTCTTTTCTGATTCTTCCTTTAACAAACGGCCAATTAATCCCCCATTGAAAGCGTGTAGATTGCTGAAGCACTTGACTGGAACACAGCACAAGGCTTGGGCTATAATGCTGAGGTATTTTTGCAAAAATAAACTTCAACCACTAACTCTTCACAGCCTCATCTTTGGGTAAAGAAAATAACTTTCCCTCAAGCCGCCTTTCCACTGCACACGACATTTGGACACGACTGTCGGAATACGCCCCCTTGTGGCAGCCGCACAGTATTTTCAGTGTTGTCGTTCACCCTGGGGGAGGGAAGCTGATTCGGTGTCCGGAAAAAAGGAGGGCAAAAGCAAGAGCCTTTATTCTCTGTGTGTTTACATAGTTTAATGGATGAATGAATACTAGAAACTCATAGACCGCTAAAATATTGGAGGGAATGTGGAGATATTAAAAAATATATATTTTTATTACTTTCTTACTTACATTTATGAAAACAGAAGTTTTTTTTTTTTTTTTACATATAGACTTTTTTTAATTCAAAAAATAACCAAATAAACTATTTCTCATCTCGCGCGCACTGATCTGCTTGGACAACACTGGAATACATCATATCCGGTCGGCAGGTCGCATACGGTCTAGTCGCAGGAGTTCAAATATTTCAACGGATCCGCAGCTCAAATCGGATCCGAATTTTCCGCATACGGAGATGATCGGAACTCAATGCAGCTCCTGGACTGCTGTCCATTGGAAATGAATGACTTCTGGTCTGTTGCTGGTCGTTTGTCGTGTGCAGTGGAAAGGAGGCTTCACACTTCACACCTGACATGATTCAACCATGATCTGCTACAGTGTATGTCTTCTTTTTCTGCGCAGTATTTGCGCAGGGATGGGAGGGTTCATTTTTCCCGGGTCTGCGCGGTCAACAAATGGGCTGGGCTTGAGTTCTGTATCAATGTCACACTGACCACTACTTGTCAACTCTATTATAGATTAATCAATAGTTTTAAACACTTTCAGATTTAAACTTTAGCTGGATATTTCACTTCACTTAGAGCTGTGTTACATAGTACATGTAGGATCATAAAAAACCCATAATAGCCCCCCATCTTTAAAAAAAAAAAAGTTGATACCTATGCCTCCAAACATGACTGAATTTCTGATGTAAAAGACTAAATGAAATTTTTGTAAAATATAAAACAGATTTAGTGCTTAAAGAAACAGTTCATCCAAAACTGAAAATTCTGTCATCATTTACTACCTTCCAGTAGTTTCAAACTGGGTTGATATTTTTTTCTGGTAAACACAAAAGATGATGTTGTGAAGACTGTTGAACATCAGTAGCCATTGACTTACATTGACCACAGGTCATGGAGTTTCTTGAAATGCATGGAATTTTTTAGGGCTAGTCCAGACATTGAAAGTCAGGGTATGTTTTATGATTTATATATATAAATAGTACTTGAGTATTTAAAGTTTTTAATTGATGTAAAAGAATAATTTAAAGTATTAATCATTGTTGTGTTATAGTTATAATCAAATCAAAATGAATAACTTTTCATATATAACATCTCTTGAATTAAATAAGGCATTTCCAGGTCTGCTTTGCTGTAGTGTTTAAAATCTATTTTCTCTTTTGTCTGCTTAGTGCTAATTAGTCGTGGAAATGCAGCTTTTTAGTCAGTAAAAGTCATAGAAATTTGACAATTTTGCTTTGAGTGATAAAATTTTACATAGTAGATTTTTTTTCTCTCAATGTGAAAGTCCACTGATAGTAGTTTGTAACATTCTTTGAAAGATATACTAATGTGTTTAACAGACAAAACAGTGTGAAAGTACACTTTAATGTGAATGATTAGAAAATTTATTTAAGCCATTAATTTTACTGTACTGTACTTAACTGCAAAATATATTTACAAACAAGAATCTTGACTGTATAAATTGGGGTTGTGTTTGCTAAAGCAAAGCCTTTGTACAACCTCTGTGCTAAAAACCATCTTGATAATGTTTTTGCAAAATAAATTCAATAATAAAGCTTAGCATACTTATCAGCTGCTGTTGTATAAAGCTGATTTTATTCTGCACAAACAACCAAATGGATGTGCATCCAAGCTATTTGAATAGAATAGACTTTATTTGTCATTACACATAGAAGTACAACAAAACATTTGGTACCCCGTCAAATTGATGCTCTCACACAGCTTTATTTTCCACAAAATTTAATTATTAGACACAGTATTGGTCTGAACTGTAACTGTTTACTAGATCTTTAATTAAACCAAATGCTTGCAGACAGAATAAAATACAGAAGGCAGCCTACATTCGTCTACTTAGTACTAATATTATTGTTTAGTCACAAGATGGCGTGAAACGGTAAAAAACAGCGATGTAACATTCAAGATGATTTGTAGTACCTGGTTAAACCCAGGTTTTAGTGTTACGTTTGTTATCTAAGAATGATAGTCCTTGAATGTCATGATTGGCCAATCAGAGTCAAGAATTCCAGAGAGCCTTATAATAATAATTGTGATTATTAACCATCACTATACAGTCCTATGTTTAACCATATATCCTCCTCTTGTGGGTTTGCAGGTTTATATAGCAGCATTTGCTATTTCTGCCTATGCATGCTCGTTCACTAGAGCAGGAGGAAAACCATTTAATCCTATATTGGGAGAAACATTCGAGTGTATGCGGGCGGATAAGGGCTTCCGCTTCATTGCTGAACAAGTAAGTGCACATAAAAAAAAAATAAAAAATTCTATATCTAAACAAAAGCATATGCACTCACATGCACCGTTACATTGTGTGCTTTAGGTCAGTCACCATCCACCTGTGTCTGCTTGCCATTGCGAGTCTAAAAGCTACACGTTTTGGCAAGGTAAGTGATGCGCATTTTGTCAGTGGCAAATCTTTAGGCATTTAGCAGGATTTGGATGTGCATTTTTCTGCTTTTCTTCATTAGATATGCGCTGGAAGAATAAGTTTTGGGGAAAATCGATGGAGATTGTTCCCATGGGAGTCACTCATTTAGAGTTGCCAGGGTAAGTTCATTCTATTTTGAATTACTCTGCTTCCCATTTCGCTTCCATTACATCATGTGTTGTCTCACACTATCACTTGCTCATTCTCAGTTTTGGGGATCGTTATGAGTGGAGTAAGGTCACTTCATGCATTCATAACATTCTGAGTGGTCAGCGCTGGATCGAGCACTATGGGGAAATGTCAATTAAACACTCGAACACTACTGGAGATGTCAGTCATTGCAAAATCACATTTCTTAAGGTGAGACCATTAGGACATGCAAAACTCAAAGAACCAAGTCATACCACATTGACGCGATTTTCTCAATTTCACAAATCTGTTTCAAAAGATTTCATAAGGACAAAATTTACTAGTACAACTAATGCAATCTTTTTATAATCTACATGAAGTTAAAATAACTTTAGCCATATTTTTAAACTAAATTTTGTTAAAATATAACAGTTAAAGTGATAGTACACACAAAAACAAACATTCTCTCACCATTTAGTGCTGCCTTACCTTCATGAGTTTCATATTTTCTGTTGAATGCAAATGAAGATACTTTGAAGAATGTTGAAATCCTGTAACCGTTGACTCTCATAGTAGGAAAAACTACTCCATTTAAAAGATGGTATTATTTACAGAAATGTAAATCTAATGCATTTGTTCAAAATGCATTGTCTCGAGGAGCAAGATGAGTAAAAATATAGAGAATATGCACTATAGTGGCATGGAGTGGTGACTTTTTTGACCAGGTATGTAATGTATTAGACCTGTTTCCCACTGGATATTTTAGCACCTTATGTTTATAGTGCCATCCATGTTAACAGACAACATTCTTTACAATGCATGCAAAGATGGTGCAGTAGTTTGTAACAGGGCCGAGTCGAATTGGCAGTGTATATTTGTGCTGCACAATTAATGCTGAATTAAAGCCCCGGGGCAGTGTTCTTAGTCAAATAAAATACTAAATATACTAAAATGCATGAAAACGTTATTGCCAGGATATTTTGCCCATACAGTTTTAGTAGTGAAAAAGAAAAATTCTATCAATAAGTACTTAATCCTCATATTGTTCTAAACCTCTGAGATCTCCTTTCATTTTTTGAACACAAATTAAGGTTTTTGTGGTAAAATCAGAACTCTCTGATTTTCCATAAACGACAGTCTTGAAGGTACCAAAAAATTGTAGTCAAAGTTGTCCATGTGTCTTCAGTATTTTTATACAGGTGGATTCAAAAGGAATACCACAACTTTGAAAATCTGTATTCAATTAAAGAAACATGATGGAACCTTGGGTAATTAATCAATGTGAAGTGTACTTAACTTTTTTCAGTAAAAAACAAGTTCATAGATCTTTAATATGACCCCCTCCAGACACTTGAGTGACTTCAGCCTGCTACTCGAACTCGTTCCACACTCTCTGTAGCATCTTTGGTATAACAGTTAATCCTTCTTTTAGTTCCTCGGTGTGAAACTTCTGAGCTTCCTTAAATTGATGACAAATCTTCCTTGTAGAGTCTTCAATCTTTTTAAAAAAATGTGGTATTCTTTTTAAATCACCCTGTATTATAAATCCACGAGAATACATTTGTGCTCAAATAAAAGAACAATTATGATTAAGTTTTTCTCCTAAGTGTCAGTATAGGGTGCTTGTTCACAAGTACTGTACACTGGTGTATTCCATACTCGCATGCAACTTTCTGTTTAAAATATAATTTATAAATTGAAATAAATTGTGAGAGAGGAACATTGTTGCATCACAGCTGAGCATTTTGCCTAGCATTAAATCAAATAACATGCCTGATTATGGGGTGAACACCGGAAAAAGGTGACACAGTGAATGAGAATGTTTAATCAGTACACAACCTTTTGCTGTGCTTGTGCTTCCAGTGTGAAACTGGTATGAGATATGTCAATGAGAAACGCCATGGAAGTCAAATTATCAAAACAAGGCTGTTGCCAGGAACTACCACTAGGTGGCAGTGTCTTCCTGTGTACCTCAAAGCATAAAAAATGCCCTCTTAAGTGTTTGTTTCAATTAGATTTATTTATGAGTGTTACCAAATATTGTTTAACTTGAACAAATATGGTTTCAGTGGACTTTCAAAATTCAATTTTCATTTTGTTTGAAAACGTTTTATCCTTTATTCATATTTATATTTTTGGACATGTTTATACAACAATGTTTTCTTTGATTTCTGAAGAAATGTTTTCGATTTTCTTTGAACATTCTAACTTTTAAAAATGGGATTTGACATGCAAGTTTTTGAATATGATACCATTAGTCTCCATGTTATCCATGCATAATCGCATGCATTTATGATTGTTATGACAGTTATGTGTGTTATGATCTACAACAAAAGCAAAAGGTGTCAGAGTTTTTGTGGATTTACTTACTTGGATGCCTCTTTAACTGACACACATTAGCAGGAAAATATCATTTGATAATAATTTGATATATTTTATTGCCTTCATTTTATAATATTAACTTTAAATTTCCTTGTCAAGTAAGATGTAAAATATAGTACAATTAATTAGCCAGGTCCAAAATTTATTCTCTAATGGCCTCACTTGAACTCCTACAGTGTTATGTCTTTGCACTTAAAAAAATCAAATGAAACATGGCACTAAGCCTGCCTTTTGTTCTGTGAATGAACTGGGCTGCATGGTACTAATATTTAGTGAAGATTTATTCAGGTATTACTTGAAAACCGCATATTAAAAACAGGTAGTTTAGATTGAAGCATCAATATCATATCATCAAATTCAGTTAAAATAGAGAACTATTGTGGGGAATTAATTCCACTTGTGTGTGTTTGCGTCTGTGTTTGTCTTGCCACATGTTCTGCATTCATTTTATGAATGGTTTGTGTATATATCCTGTTTTTAAACAGATGATTAACTTTCATACCATCTTTATATTCAGTCAAGGTCTGGGGGTCTGAATGCTAATGAGGTAGAGGGTCTGGTTACTGATTTGGAGGGGCGTATCATTCACTCCTTGTTTGGCAAGTGGAACGAGGCCTTGTATCTGGGCAAACCGCCTTCAGCAACGTGCATCTGGAGAGCAAGTGAGTTTCAGTAACTGTTTAACTGTATTTAAATGGTCTAAACATTATGGCTGATTATGATTGTCATTTTTTAAGCAAATGTTATGTATATGTAGAAGAATTCAAATGATATATATATATATATATATATATATATATATATATATATATATATATATATATATATATATATATATATATATATATATATATGAATTATTTTAATTTCATTTGATTTTATCTTTTTTTTAAATAAAGTAAATACAAATTGAATGCAAATTCAATCTCTGCATGTGTTGGGCACTTATAGAACATCAGCATTTTCTTGGTTAGCACTGTAAACAAAGAAGCTCCACTGGTAGTGGTCAAGCAGTGTAAAGAAAATCTAAAAAAATAAAGTACCATCTGGACTTTTCTGAAGACAGAGGGTTTGCACTGCCATTCAGTATTTTAGGATATTTATCAACAGTTCCATGCATCAGGAACAGTGAGGTTTTACCATTTAGTTATTTTCAATTTAACAATAAGCCACACATAGGACAAAATCAACAAGTAAACTGAATGAAGCCCATGTATAGCACATCAATGATCAGTCATTGCTAGTGTTCTCTGTGCTGCTTGTAGAACAGTATGTCTGTTAGTTTATCTCGTCTCCCATCTCTGGCCAATGTTAAAGGGATTGTTCATCTAAAACTGAAAACGTAGTTATTTCCCATCAGGCCATTGAAGATCGAAATGATGTTTTCAGTAGAACTTTAAATGAATGAAATGGCATTAACGCACACCTTTAGAGTTATTTACCGTTGGACTCTCATGTTTAGGCATGGTTCAAGTTTCAAAAATGGTGTAACAGAAGAAGCAATTTTTGGAAAAGAAGCACTCAGTACGTAACCAGTGCGAGAGTTAACCTATCACACTAAGAATTAGTTACAAAAAGTGTTATTTTGGGTGTGAGGGAACAATTTAGCCTTAGTTTAGCTGTTGTTTAGCCATAGTTTAAATTTAGCAGTTGACCAATGATGCACTGAACTTTCTAATTACACCAGTGACATCGGATGCTCTAGAGACCAACCTAGACTAATCATACTGATGTAATTGTTTGCATCAAAGAGTTAAGATTACAAAGTTGTTTGCCTGTTTTATTTAAAGCATTATCAAAAAATGTACTCTGATGTATTTCAGAAGATTCGGCACTTGCACACTTTTGACTTTGTAGATCCTGCCATAGCACTCTAGGCAGTTTTTTTTTTTTTTTTTTTTTTTTTTTTTTTTTTTTTTTTTTTTTTGGAGAGAATTTGCAGGTTTGGCATGCTGTCCCGGGAAAGAACCTTGAGCTTGGAAATAAGTGAGCTCAGGAGGGATCCTGCCAGGTGTGTTAGCATATAAGGGGGTAGGAGATCAGGTAGGTCTCGAAAGCTCCACCTAGTAAAAAAGGAACAGGAGGAGATGGGGTGGAAAGGGGGATTCTTCCAAAATGAAGATAAGGAAGTAGGGTAAAATCAGTCTATTTATTGTGGGCCTTGATCAATCTGATTGGAATAATGCGGACTACGAATGAGAGACCAGTTGAGATCAATCATATTACATTCCCCTCTTGAAATTAGTTTAAAAACTTGACTTCATCTTGTGTGACTCTTGAACAAATAATGAATTTAAGTCTGTTTAACTGACTACATTTTTATTAAACAATACTTTTGATGCAGTAAAAGGAAATTAGTGAATCTGAAAATTCACTTTTTAACTTTAAGTTCATCTGTGGCTAAAAACACTTGCTCATATTCAATACCTAACTTGCGAATGTTGACCTCAGGGGGCGCTAACACAGCACTGTTTTTGTTCATGTATCTCAATATAGATCCTATGCCTGAGAACCATGAGCAGTACTATGGATTCACCCAGTTTGCAATTCAATTAAATGAATTGGAGGAGGGTTTAAAGCCACTGTTGCCCCCAACAGACACCCGTTTTAGGCCGGACCAAAGGTACACACACATTTCAAACCATTTCAAGTATGTTTTCCCCAAGTAACCTCTTCTAAAAGCCAATTTTGCATGCCATCGGCTGTTTATTGGCCCACTTTTGATTAGATTACTTGAAGAGGGTGATGTTGCCGGAGCAGAAGAACAGAAAGAAAGAATTGAAGTCCTTCAGAGAGAGAGGAGGAGAGTCCTGCAAGAAAATAACATGACCCACTCCCCCCGATTTTTCAAGTAAGTGACTGTGTTTTGAACACAGACGTGGTTGTTTTTGCATTCAAGTTTTCATCACGAGTTTCTGTCTGTAATGCAGTTTTGTTAATTCAATCAGGCGTGCTAAAGACGACACATGGGTGAGCAATGGCACATATTGGGAGCTCAGGAAGGATCCTGGATTCAGCAAATTAGAATTCCCTGTACTCTGGTGACCAACAGTCCATGCTTTTTTGTATATATTATCTAGTGCAATCTTGTTAACAGTGTGGGCTTTATGTGTACTGTGCATATGTTGATGTTTTTGTATTGGTATTTATCTTTGTTAAATGTAAACATTTATGGCATTATATAGAAAATATCTTTAGAAACACATTTATGTCTTGACAAACTGCCTTGCAAATGCACTGACCAATAACTTTCATAAGTGCCTGGATGTAATTAGTGTTTCCATTCAAAGTCTTTCTGTTATTCTTGTTTCTATCCAATAATCAAAAAAATTACGTTAAAGAAATTGCCTTTACTGAATCTAAATAATATAAATATTAATAATTAGTAATATTAATAATATCTCATTTCTGTCATGTTAAAAGCATTAGGCATTTAAATTTCAATGTGGTAGTGTGTGTTGTGCTGCCCTTCAATTTTATTTAATCAGCACAAAATATTTTATAAAGTCAAATTATTACAGGAATGAGAATTTAAGGCGCATAATTGTCATAAAAGTGAATCTTGGTCTTAAAATAGAGTTTATGCAAAATATAATTCCTTATTTATATACATGTTAAAAAATAATTGATTTTGAGTGCAATGTTGGACTGAATTTTATATGACATTCACATTAGGTAAGTTTGTATATAAATCTTTGAACACCAAAGTTTTGACTCAGTTGTTGACTCCAACAATTCACTCAGTCGTAATTATGGAATATAGAATCCATGAATATGTTTGAAAATAGATTTATTTTTCCTTAAAGGGACGATGATAATAGAAAATGTAATAATATATGAAAAGAAATTGTCAAACATATCAAAAAAAGATTGCACATTTTTTGTGTATGTATGTGGAAGAGCGACAGTCTATATGCTCTCACGTGCTGTTCCTGTTACACTTGATAACTGCGGTCCTGTTTCTGGGTGTGGTGTTTTACTGAAATATGATAAACACAACATTACTTTCTTTAGTTGGGTACACACTTGAACTTTACACAGATGGGCACTGTTGCTTTCAGAAGATTAAGGACAGGTTACATCAGTATACGACTGACCATATGTTGGGTTTGAGCAATAAATAATGTGCACAATTCAAAGAATGTTTCCTTGTTTTTTTAATTATACGAAGGCTTTTGAATAGTCACTTATTGTTTAAATCGAATGACATGGTATTACTGTATGTTTTTTAGTTTAATAGACTAAAATGCGGGTATTTGTTAACATTCATTTTCTTTTCGGCTTAGTCCCTTTATTAATCTGGGGTCGCCACAGCGGAATGAACCGCCAACTTATCCAGCATATGTTTTACACAGCGGATGACCTTCCAGCTGCAACCCATCTCTGGGAAACATCCATACACACTCATTTTCACACGTACACTGTGAACAATTTAGCTTACCCAATTCACCTGTACTGCATGTCTTTGGACTGTGGGGGAAACCGGAGCACCCGGAGGAAACCCACAGGGAGAACATGCAAACTCCACACAGAAATGCTAACTGACCCAGCCGAGGCTTGAACCAGCGACCTTTTCTGCTGTGAGGCGACAGCCCTACCTACTACACCACTGCATCTCCCCCTATTTGTTAACATGCTTGACAAAAAACATTTCTGAGAAGAATTCTTTAAGATATAGTTCATCAAAAAAATTTAAATTCTGTCATCATTTACTCACAGTTCATTTGTTTCAAACCAGTTTGCCTTTATTTTTTCTGCTGAACCCACAAGAAGATATTTTGAAGAATGCTAGGAACCCGTAACCAATGACTCATTGTTTCATAGTATTTGTTCTTCCTATGAAAGTCAGTGGTTACTGGTTTTCACGTTTTTTTTAAATAAAGAAAAATAAAGGTTTGGAAGCATGTTTATTACTGAATGGTTGGTGGGATTATTTAACATTAGGACGACTTTTTAATAGTGATCATTTTCATTCAGGGATTTATTTTATTTTTTTTGTAATGGAGGACCTTTCGTAAAGACGAACAAACACTATGAAAGTTATTGGTGCTATCTTGACAAATTGCCATTGCTATGTACTCCATGTTTGACTTTGCTCTCTAAACTGAATTATGAATCCGAGTTCCAGCCTCACCAAAAAAAGCAAAATAATAGAACGCACTTTACACACTTAAAAAAAAAGAAAAAGGTTTGTTCAAGTGGGTAGCCTGACCACAGGTTCCCTACTCATAAGAATGTAAATTCCCACTTAAGCTAAGATCTTACTCAGAGTTATTTTGGTTGAACGTCATGCAGTCTTCATTTGGGCTTTTCCCCTCACTCAAAGCTGGTAAAATAAAGTTTTAAAAAACAAAGACAAATTATAGCTAAATAAAATGATATATTTTAAGATTCTCCACAGCTGTATTACTAGTAATTTTGAAATATTTTTTTTGTTTAAATTAGGTGTTCACATTGAAAAATTTTAAAAAGAATTTTGATTTAATAACTGAAATAATCACATATAATTATAATCCCCTTAAAAATATTAAAAACATATACTCACTAAAATAGCATAGGACATAATTTAAATATTTATTTATTCATCTAACTAAAGACACAGAATCCCCAGAAATGAACTTCGACCCTATAACGGCCATATACTGCTTTAAAACACTGCAGCTGTCAAAAGACAAAGGAGGATGGGCTGTCCCCTCTCTAAAAGATTATTATATAGCAGCACAAATTAGGACTGTAATAAACTGGTGTGACCCACACTATCATGCCCATAGAAAAATATAGAAAACTTTATATTTAAAAATACCCCTGTTCAAGCCATATTAATGGAGAAAACTTATTAAAAAAATATATAGAACAAATAGAACACCTATGGACAAAACTTACTTTAAATGTCTGGACATAAGTGATAAAAGAATTAAGCTTGCTGAAATATTGTACAATTTAAAAAAAGAATTGCTTATAATTCAGATTTTACACCAAACAGTTTAGGTAACAGATTTAAATTATGGGCAAACAAGGGAATCTCCTCCTTTAGTACCATCGTTAAAAAAGGAGAAATTTTAAGCTTTCAGCAATTAAAGGAGAATTTTCTACTTGAAAATCAAGATTTTTATAGGTATCTACAGGTGCAAAATTATTATGATCAGAGAATAAAAAAACTTAAAGACAATCAGAATCCATTGATAGATCTAATAAAAAAACACACACATCAGGTATAAAGTACAAAATAGCCTCACTGATATATAAGAGTCTGAGAAGTATAAAAACACATTCCCTAAATTACTTAAAAGAAAAATGAGAGACAGAAAGTGGAATAACCTTTACTGATGAAGAGTGGACAAATATATGGGAATTTCAATGGAAATCAACAAGTTCCTTAAACTGGAAACAATACTGTTGGAAAAAACATTATTAGATATTTCAAAACACCAGTGCTAACAGCCAAATACCAACAAGTCTCCAAAACGTTGCCGTAACTGCTGATGCAAAAAAAGCAAACCATTATTATATATTTTGGAAATGTATATTCTAGAATATTGTAAAGAAATACAAGAGGCTCTTGAACTTATATTTGAAATAGATATACCTCTAGAAAGTAAATTGTTATATTTTAGCTGTGTGGATCCAGATACAGTAACAACAGACAATAAATTATGCATGCTCTCATGGCTGCCAGCAAAAAAGCGACCAACCCTATGTAATTGGATAGATGCTTGAGATCTACACAATGGGAAAAAAAATCACTTTTGTTGTCAACTTGAAGGATATATTCCTGGGAAAATGGAGGAAATGGGTTAAATATATTTTAGTAAGAAGACCTGACTTTGTTATAAACAAATAGAAGATGTTGGCCTGATAGATAAATATTTACTAATGTGTGTACATGTATATGGTTATACATATTCATATTGTACTGTGTGACATTTAAATGTAATGAAGATGGTCAGTTAAGATTATTCTGGAAGGAATTATATTATGACATGGGTTCTCACCCTGGATGTAAATAGTGCTTTAATTTTTATGTATTAATTTTTATTTTTTCTCTTTATGCTGTTTTTCATTTTATAATTTACAAAGTTTGCACAACAAACATAAAGAAAATTATTGACTGCATTTGTTTGAATATTGTTGTGGACCATGAGAAGGCTTGAAGTCAAAGTCCTGGACCTGGCTTTGTAACTATTACTTTTAGAAAAACTATAAAAGTAATTAATTGTTTATGGTAATTCTATAGCTGCTGTGGTAATACAACACCTATAGTGATACCCATAACTGTACTATGCTTTCTACAAACATAGTACACCACAATTCATTGTATAGTAAAAACTAAAGTATACGGTATACATCACATCTCAGTATTCTGCAACGTGTTAACAATACTAAATGTAATAAATACTATTTTATACACATACAGTACACTTTCTATATGGTCAAAAAATCATGGTATTTACAACAGTAAATAAAACTAATTTGCAAGTCAGAATTGTCAGATAAAAGCATCAGTTTTTTAACTAGTCTATTTTTATTCTTTTGTCATGTTTATAGATTGAGAGCATGACATGCATTTAAATGTCGCAAATGCCTGTATTCATTATGATAATTACCCGAGGAGTTTGAAGGTTTTATTAAATTTACTTGACTTGGTAGAAATGACAATAAATGAGATGATCCTCCCACCCATTGATTTATTTATTTACTTATTTTTTCAAATTACATACCTGATTGCATTTATTTATTTATTTTTCTCTCCAAAGGGGTGAAATAAAATAAGAAATATGTTGGTTAGTTAGGAGAAAACTATGCTTGAAAGTCCAGTCTATCACATCTCACAAGAATACCAACAAAAAAGTTAGTCCCCTACACGACGACCACATGCACTACAATAGTAAAAGCATATGCTTGTGTTCAGTTGCGGGCAGGTTTTACTTCCCTTCCGCTGTGCCATATACTGCACAATAAAGGTTAGTATTATGATAACCAAAGCTGTTCATTTACACATGCAGACTACAAATGAAATCACCTCTGATCAATCTCTTTAAATTATCTTACATTGTCGAAAACATAAACCTGCTAACCAAGCGGTCAATGTTTTTTAACTAATAAACCACATTAAACTTGGACTTCAATGGGATAAAAACTTGTTTTTAAGGTAGCCTACATAAGCCACGTTAAGCCTTTTTACGTTTAATGGACTGCGGAGGAGAAACGCTTAACGTGATATATAGTTTACTTTGTCTATGGAATTAGGAATTGCTCTTTTTACAGTTAATGTCAATTACAAGTAACGTTTGACGGAAATGTGGGTTTCTCTTGTTGGT